AACTCGAATTTCTTAAAAGTCGAACCAACCAGTTTGAAAAAAAATGACCTAGAGCTCGATCAGAAACTCAGAAGTCAAACCGTGAACGCCGATCTAAGATAACTTGTACGCGCGGGGAAATGAGTCACGTGGCACGTCTCTCAGCGGAAACAAAGGGTAACGCTTCAGTCTCAGCCTTGCATTCGCTGTGGTAGCATCATGCATGTTTGCACTAGCTGAATACGTATATTTAGACAGTAAAAGTACAATGATAAACAGTAACAGCAATTATTATTATATAATAAAATACATTGAAAAATAAAGATTTCTTATTCATTATTTTAATATTAATAATAAACCATTAATACATTTAATTATAATAATATTGTCGTGCCGAGCGAGGATGGAACGGAGACAAAGGCGCAGACGTTAGGGTATCTGGGAATACGGGGTTTACAGGTAATACAGGTAAGGCAGGAAAAACGCAGATGGACAATACAATGACCGGACTGGGGAAACAAACTTCAACGCGGATGAAATACAGAGGGCTAATGAAAACAACCAGAAACAGCTGATCACATGGGGATTCCACACGAGGTTAACGAGGGTGTGTGGCACACGGAAGGAGCGGATGATCGGGGCAGGACACATTGTTTTTTTTTTTAACTTTACACATTGTTTGGATACATTTATTTTCTTACTTTACAAATGATTGTTTTGCTAAATGTGCTTATATGTGTTTAGTACAGTATGGTCTTCTTGTTTTATCTGGTTCATTTTGTGTTTAAATGCTAAAAAAACATATTTAGGTGTAATTTTTTTGGGGGTCGGGAACCAATTAATTGGGTTTCCATTATTTCTTATGGGGAAAACTCGATTAGAACTCGAACTTTTTAGGATTCGATCCGGAGTTCTGAACAGATTAAGTTTGAGTTCTGAGGTACTACTGTACTAGCTTTTATTTCAATGACTGTAGCTAGTGATTAAGGACAAAGAAGTGGTAGCTAGAGAGGGGAAGCAGTGAGACGACGAGGGAAATGGAAGAAAGAGGAGATCTCAGAGCTCGTGTTCCACAGGCACAATGGCTCTCAGGTCATGTGAACCCCCCCATTCATCGGCCTTTACTTTTAGTTCATCGGAGCAGCTGATGCAAGTTCAACATTTTTGTACAAGTAGTTTCAAGTGACTTTTTTCTTTAATAAAATGTTCTGAGGTCCTTCCTCTTGGTTCCTGTGTCTTGCTTGTTTCTTCTCCATGTAAAAATCGGATCGGATCCATCTAACTGGGTGGTGAAGAGAGCAACATGTGTTTCCCTCATCTACACATGGATCTGCACAAAAGTGCAACAAAGCTAACAAAGTACAGGTGTAACTGCAATGCATTTAGCGCTTAGCTAACAGACAAGCCTCTGTTATAATGTACTACACAGGTCTTCAGTACAGCTAATTTACAGAACAGGCAGCTAAAGCTAAAGCTGATTATTCCAACCTCGACTGAATATCAAATCTGTTGTCATTTGCCTTCATGCATTTGTCAGAATTTACTGAGATATGATTGGTTGCTCAATAACAATCAGTCCCTGTGGGAGTTTTTTGTGATTGTTGCAGCCAAAAAATTTGCAACTGCTTTTCTCAAAAATTATCAAAATTCGTGATTCTACTTACAAAGTTTTATGTGCATTTTTGCATAAATCAGCAAAATAAGTTCAGAATTTTATTTTTTAAACTACTGCCAGTGAAGAAAGAAACCTATGTAATTACTTTCTTTGTATATTTATTTTTATGTCACATTAAAAAAAAAATCACATTTCAGTTCTCATTTTTATTTCCACTCAATTTTATTTTTACTATCATTATGAAGGTGGCATTATGAGATAAAAGCTACTTTGGAAAACCATCATTCCAAAATACATCAATGTGAAAAGTTTAACTTTGTCGTGAAATATCCACCCATCCATCCATTTTCTGAAACCGCTTATCCTATTCAGGGTCACGGGAGGTCCGACACCTATCCTGGAGTGTATAGGCAAAACACACACATGCACACACACAGAGTTCTGGAAAAAAGTAAGAAACCACTTTATATATATTTTTTTAAATCTGCATTCTTAAGTCCTGCTTTAATCCTGGTTCTGCTGGCAGAGGCTACACTGCACAGCAGGATACTTCCAGGCTCAAGTCAGCAGTACACAAGAACAAGGTGAAGCAAGAGACACTGGTAATGACCAAAAACCAGCCAGGTAGAGGGAAGAAGCGACTTTCTAATGCCAGGGATGGCTGCCAACTTATCCAACAGGGTCTCATGAATTAGAGGATGACACAAAGTGACCATCAAAACGAATGGGAAATGTGAAGTGGTGTGAAGTTCACTGCTAGGACTCCTAGAAGCCTTTAATTAAAGACCCATAAAGCAAAGAAGAAGCCCATCATCAATGAGAAGCAGGGAAGAGCCAGGCTGGAGTTTGCAATAAAAAGTATATTTTACTCGGACGCATTCCCATAAACTGGAAAATAGGTGAAACTAAAAATGTTGCTGTCGCCTCTTAATTTTTGATGAAGCAGGAGACACTGGGAACGACCAGAAACAAGCCAGGTAAAGGACGGACGTGATTTTCTAATGACAGAGATGACAGTTTATCATGAATGATAAAATGGCATCAAGTAACCTTCAAAAAGATTGGAAATGTTAAGTGGTGTGAAGTGCACTGCTAAGACAGTTCGTATCAGGCTCCTAGAGGCAGGATTGAAGTCCCATAAAGCAAGGAAGAAGCCCTTCATTAATGAGAAACAGAGGAGAACCAGGCTGTAGTACATAAAAGCACATCCATAAATTGCACTGTGGTCTCTTAATTTTTTCCAGAGCTACACACACACACACACACACGTAGGGTAAACATATCCTCATGGGGACCGCTCATTCATTTCAATGGGAAAAATGCTAACTCTAACTATGACAACCTTAACCCCTACCCTGCCCTAACCATAACTATAAGTAACCTAACAAAATACAAGAGTTTTTGCATTTTTAGTTTTTTCATAGCAGTCACCGATTTTTATAAAATAGAGTTTTCCCTTATGGAGACCAGGAAACCGGTCCCCATAAGGGAAAAAAACGGATATTTATCACGTTATGGGGACATTTATGTCCCCATAAGGATAGATAAACCCGCTCACACACACACACACACACCTCTTATAGAGAAAAGTAGTATGACACTTGGCCATTACACCTACAGGAACTTGAAGACCTCACAATCTCCATTCTAGTTCATCCCAAAGGTGTTTAAGGTGAGGACTCTGTGGGCCAGTGAAGTTCTTCCACACCAAGCTCACCCAACCCCGTGTTTATGGACCTTGCTTTGTGCACAAATGCACAGTCATGCTGGAACAGGAAAGAGTCCTCCTCAATCATTGAATTCAGGTGTTTCATTCAGACCTATTGCCTCAGGTTTATGAAATCAAGTTCTCACACACACATTTTGTATTCATATCTGTGAGGACCATCCATTCATTTCTATAGGGAAAAACCCTAATCCCAACAATGACATCCTTAACCCCTACCCATTAACCATAAGTAGGCAAGTAAAATACAAGACTTTTGGCATGTTTAATTTTTTGATAACATTCACAGATTTTTATAAAATTTACCTTAACTGGGTTTATACAGGGGGGGGGGTCTCCACAACATCAAAATAACAGGTTTTTATCTCATTGTGGGGGCATTTGTAACATAAGTAACTAAACAAAATAAAAGACTTTTTTTTTTTTTTTGATTTCATTCAAACATTTTTATAAAATTTGGGTTAGCCTTGTAGGGATCCCCACTAGTTAAAAAGTTACAGGTTTTATCACATTGTGGGGATACTGGTCCCCACAATGCAATAATTGCAAAAACACGTATGTACACTATACATGAACTGGATCAGGAAGAAACAGATCGGGTAGGCTGTACAGATATGGTAGCGACAAACACTTAACAAACATGGCAGTTAGAGGTGCAGCATTTTCTGGAAATTTCTAGAACAACTAGATGCAAAACACAAAAACTCAGAGGTTTTTGGTGAAATACCAAATACGTGCAGCATGACTAATGAAAATCGCGGACTTGCATATGCAACAAATCTGTAAGTGGGCAGTGTGTCATTGTGGCCAAAAAGACTCCAAATAAGCCACAAAATTAAGACATTAATCATAAGCTCCATTGTGCTGTGCATAGCACTTTCTATGTTTTCTTCAACACAAAATGACTCAAAGTGATGATGAAAGCATGCTCAGGCCCAGAATGTTAAGTGCAGTGTGAGCACAGACCAGCGAGGGAGTGGCAGTTGAGCTCGGGCACGATACAAGGCATCCAGGCCAAGTATGAGTACACCCTTAGACGCCCTTAGCTAACATTCGGTACTTGTCTTGAAGTTGACACTCTGAAAGCAGAGAAAAGTGATCTTTACTAGGCAAATCATTACGGCTAGGTGACAACAAGGCTTGTGGGCTGCTCATGGTCAGCCATGGTGAGCACATGTTCAGAGGAGGGGAAAAAACATGAATGTGGCACAAATGGCAGGTAATTTTGATGATCATCATGGGAGTAATGTGTCATGATAGGTGTGGGGGGTGGTGGTCATAATGTTTTGCATAACTGGTGTCTATATATATATATTTGATAAAAGATATACTGCTACTCGAAAAATTGCAAATTCTTGCAAAAAATGCATTAATTTCTGTGATCACAAAATCCTGAATGACTAAACAGAAATAGTAAAAACTATAAGCTGCATAAAATCAAACTTTGAGTTATATCTAAAATTTTTACTTTGGCAGCTAAAAACTGCACGAGTATCACCATATTACTCACACTTTCATGAACTCCACATTTTAAACAGCACTTTAAATACAGTATGCCTAGGATATGAAATTAACAAAAAAAATTACAGAGCCGATCTACACAGCTAAATTCTGTTTAACCCTGAGCAGTGGTTTGGTTTGAAGACAGACGAACAAAACTAAATTTTCATTTTTAAAAAATATTTTATTTGCCAGTTTCACATTTAGATTTATCAAAACCCGTTCAGATAATATTCTATGTACATATTTAACATCTTACATACAAATGTACAAGTTAGTAAGGAACCCATGTATTCATGATCCCAGTCTGGTTTAACTCCGCTAATTCGTGTAACGTAGCATCGTGCCATCGTGCGCTGTGAAATGATTTTCCTGAAGGTTCATCAAGCAAAAACGAGGCCGGCCAGCTCCGTTTTGCTCAAGTCACACAGCTCGTCTGCCTTTCCCTGTAACAGCCCCAGTTCTCCCATCCCTGGGGAAGGTCATTTCCTCTTCCTCAGAGGGCCTATCCTACATATCTTGTTCTTTACTCTGTATTTGAGTCAGTGAAAGTGCAACACCCTCATATACTGTCTGGTCATTCTATATTCCATGCAGTAGCTGTCGATTGCTGGTTCATTCTGCATTGAGTTGGCTCACACTGGTTGTCAGTTAAACATATGCACCTACAACACAGGACATGAATTTTATAAAGAAGACAGGAGGATTCTTCTTTGGATTGAGTTACATATTAAACTCTTATCGCTGGAAAGTCCTGCTCTACATTTAACTCAAGCACTGGCAAAAGCAGCCTATTATGAATATTCATCAGCAGGGCGACAGTCACAGTCGGTTCTAATTATGACAGTCATTGTAAGTGTCGATCATTAGGAATTTAAATACATTCCATGCTAAAATATGCATGAGCACAGTTACAGAATGGACTGCTGTGTGGATCAGAGGCAAGTCCAGAATTTTGTTCCAGTTTTTAACATCTCTCTGTGATAACTATTAATTTGTTTGGAAAAAGCTTGATTGTCGAACAAAGAAACAAAGAAGTCCACTTCTTAAAAATGACACAGGTAGACAGAAATATAACCGTTCCATCAAGAGTATCAAAGCTTTCAAAAAAAATTAATTCCAGTCCTTCATATACAAAGTTTGCCTGTTCTTATTTTCTTTAAAAAAATAAATCTGTTTCCTTCCAGTGACCAGCAGTGGGATTTGAAACAGCCTTTAGATGCCCAGTGGATCACTGTCATTTTAGTTTGACCATTATGCATGAGGCCAGAGGGACCCATCTATTGTTCTTTGCCCCAAATTGGGCAGATTTGTAATCTGTGAGCCCACAGGAGGGGTTTGTACTTCTTCACCGCAGTAGCAGCAATAGCAAGACAGACATTGATGTCAGGAAAGATGAAACAGCCACTGTCGCCACTCTGGAGCCAGCAGCCACACTCCTCTGCACCTCGGGCAGGACAATGGGCTCATCTGTGCAGGAAGGGAAAATGCAGCAACCGGTCAGAGGAAAATAAGAGCGCAAGGGCGACCACTGATATGCAGTCCTATTGTTAGTGAAACAATGTAAGTTGTTTTCAAAGATTAATTTCACAGGTTTAGCATTTAGCATAAAGGAGTAGCCCTTTAAAAGTACTTCAGATGTATATTCATTTAATGTTGTTTTGAGAGCCTAATTCTAATAATCCAGTCTCCTATTGTTAGTTTGGGCAAATTCAGAACAGTCTTGATAGCGTTCAAAGCACTCATAGGTAGAAAACATTGATGTACGGAGCTGATATCAAGGATTGGGACTGGGGCCAATTCAGGCATTTTTAGTTGATCGGTATCAGCTACTACAGCCCGATCCAAAGCCCAGTCTATTTAATTTCCCACGTCCACCTCATTTACATCAGTTGCGCAGACTGTAAGGTTCTGTCACATGCAGCAGTAAACCTGAGGCACATGGCTAGAAACTATGGTGATGCCAGCCATGTGGAAATTCTTTACAGTGGAACTGAAAGTAGCCGAACAGCTACCTGCAATGTTTGCAATGCCATCCTTTTGAGAGGAGGAAGTGACCGTCTAATTAGGCAGAAACATCATAAAGGAGAATACTGTGAAATCGCGAGGCTTACTCAGGTGGAGAATGCACTGACACCCACTACATGTACACGTGTATCGGACTGGGACTCTGAATCAGCAGATATAAATATTGAATGGATTGGACTGGAGTACCAGAAAAGTGGATCGATACATGCTTAAGAGAAAATCAAAAAAATATTGTTTGGTTAAATCAAAAAAATGTTTTGTAGTTTTTAGGCCTTTTGCACACTTGCACATCATTTGCACATCATGTCTTCAAAGTGTATAAAGACTTTATTTTGTTGTGCAATACGAACACCTCTCCAGTTCATCCAAGAGCACACAGTGTTTCCAGAATATTACATAAAGGCCTGAATCTTGATGGCATACCTGCAGGCAGTCTGTTGGATGAGTTATGCACACCCCCGCCACCTGGCCTTGACTCCTGGGACCCTGGGGAGGAGGAGAGGTTGGATTCACAGAGAAACTCTATACACTCTTATCTGCACAAAAGACTGACTTTTCATATTTTTTTGGGAAGTTTACCCCAGATGTGGCATATAGCTTTCATTTAGGGTATGGCTATTGAAGTCTCATATGAAAAGCTGTATGTAATTTGAAGATGGGAAATTCAACACGCAGTCAGCATTAGAATGGAATGATACCCCAAAACCAGTGCCTCTTATGGGGGCCTAAAACCATATTTACTCTACATAGTCAGGTGTAGAATTAGCATATAGAACCCCCCCCCCGTAAAAACCCAGTTAAGGTTACATTTTGCATGCACTCCCTCATACGGACAGCACAGGCATGGTCTTACCGGTGGGGCCAACAACATCCACACGGAGCCTCAGGCAATTCGACCCATGGAGGTGCAGGGGCTTTGCTGTGGGGGAGCAGGAGGCAGAAGCTCAGATACACCCCTCAAGATGCTATCCTACCCTGAAATCTTCCTGGATCTGGGTAATGTACCAGTCTTTTAATCTGACACAAAATTCATTTACACTAAGTGAATCAGTCCCAGTTAAACCAATCTAGTGGGTCCAGTCCCTTAGTTAGAAGCCTCACAAACCGTCCCCTACCGCATGCTGGACACTCACAAATGTAGTAGTAGCTCTCGCCCTGTCGGAACTCCTTCCCCAGGGTGAAAGGTGTGTAGCGCTGGAACTTCTCCGAGAACCTCTCGGGCGCATGGGGGGCGAAGGGGTGGGCGCACTCCCAGCGCAGCTGCTCGTAGGACTGTGGCCGACAGGCGTTGTAGTCACGCTGCTCCACCATGTAGAGCACATAGCGCTCGGCCTCCTGGGAAGGCGGCACGCCCAGCGGGTAGTGCGGGCACACGATATCCAGGTAGTCATTGATGTGCACCTTCACTGTGTAATCGTCCCACTGGAATCTGAAATGAGGGAGGGGGGAAGAGAGACTACATTTAGCTCCATTTATAAGGGCCTGGCAGCGCAGGAAGGGACGATTTCCCAGCATTTGAAGTCTCAGAGGACTAAGGCAACACATTACTGAGTTTTACAGAAAAACAGAGCCCCCCCCCCCCAAAAAAAAAAATCTAGTCCATGACTTTGCTTTATGCCAGAGGGCGACTGGTGCTTTATTGATTCATTTTGCTCAGTGGTTCGGCCCGAGGCGTAACAGTAATCACAAGAACAGAGGAATCACCAAGTAAAATAGACGGGATCCGGCCGCTCTCTTCTCAAGGGCAAAGCAGCCTGCTCGGGAAATTGCTCTGCTGCTGAGGGAAACGTCACCCGGGTGAGCTCAACCATTTGCGAAAGGCCAGGCGAGGCGTACCGCTCACACGCAACAAAGCCCGCAATGATAAGGCGAAGACGACTCCCATTTGCTGGCCGGCATTGGCTTGGCAGACCCTGAGCCTCCTGCGGCCTCCCAGCCCCCATCCCTGACACCCCATTAGCCTCAGCGACCCGCTGGAACAGCCCGCCGGAGAGAGATGTCTTATTCCCAGTTCCACTCCTCTGCCTCCGTTCAACAAGATTAAAAGAAATGCCACTAAACTCAAGGCAAACTTGCTGCTGTCCCCTGCCTTGCATGTACCCACACTGCCTCCGGCTTGTTGAAAAGCTTGTGTTCCCTGTAAAAGGATGGATTTAAAGCTCAAACAGCCCTCCAACCCCCAGGCACTTTCCAGGGGCCATAAACAATCCCAGGGATCACCCACACACACACACACACACACACACTTGTTTGTGGTCTGATTCCACAAAAGCCATATAATTAAACATAAAAGACATTGCAGTTTCCCTACTGGGGGGTAATTCTATTGCCACACCCCTGCCCTCAAAGTTTGGGTGTTAGGGAGAGAATTTTTAATAAAGAGTCTCAGTTGACATTAGCATCATCTCTGAGGCCTGACTCTGCTAATATTAGAATCTTCTCTGAGGCCTGACTCTCTGCTAATATTAGAATCTTCTCTGAGGCCTGACTCTCTGCTAATATTAGAATCTTCTCTGAGGCCTGACTCTCGGATGACATTAGCATTGCCTCTGGTGCCTGAATCTGTCAATATTGGCATCACCAGGAAAACTAGCCAAACTCCGGAATACCCAAATGACCTTAATTATAAACCACTGCTGAGAGCGGAGTCCCTCTCTGCTGGTTACACCCCCTGCACGCTTGTCCTCCCTGCCCGGCCTTTCATGCTTGCCTGAGCTTAGCTCTGGCTTTCAGACCATGCTAATCTACAACATATGTATGTGAAGCATCTGGAAGGTTAAGCGTAGTGGAGCAGAATCTGGCTGGGTGATGTGCAGCTTACCCTGGGTGGGTATATGCGCATGCGTGTGTGTTTCCCGGGGGATTGGCTGCCAGTCATGTGAGAGCACTAATACAACAATGGCAGCCATGATGGATGCGTGGCATCACTGCCCGTGACCAAGGGCCTTCATATTCACCAGCCCCAGCCCCCCCGTGTGTGTCCTTGTGGAATGCCTCAGCCCTTCACAGGGTCACGAGGGCAAGGAAACAAGCTGCAGTCTTACAGAGTCATCTGACAGATGAATACGCACACACACACACACAAACACACACACACACGATAGACGCACCACTGCACACAGCCTATCTCCATTCACACGCTGCTCACAGGTCGGCTGCACTTCTACATTGCCACAAGCTCTGTTAAAATTTGTTTTTGTTCAAATCCTTTTGAAAAACAACTTAACTTTTTGCCTTCCATTACAGGATTAACATCTGCAGCACCTCCCTTCATGGGCTCCTCCATTCATTCCCACTGGACCCTGCCTAATGAGGTTGGTGCTGTGCGAGAAGCACGCATTGTCACCGTCACTGCATGGAGGGGACTTGCCGGAGCTCACTGCGAATGCTTGAAGCAGGAGGAACCCACCATCTATGCCCTCCTTCCAAATAACACCAGAGCTGACTGCTGCTCTCTTACTCTGCATTTTGACATGAATTTGTGTGGGATTTGTCTGCCCACTAGGGGGCAGCAGTAACCTCCAAAAATATAGTGGGAATACGCCAACCACGCTTTGCAGAATCACCAAACCACAAACTATAGGAAATGAGAGAGAGAAAGGCTGCAAGCAAAAACCCAACATACAAATGTAAATAAATCCAGTGTTTCTCACAAACAGAAAAAACTCTTACAAATTGCTATCATTCCACATACACACACACACACACAAACAAACAAAATGACAAAAGAAAATGCTTATCAGCAACTTTACTGATGGAGTAATAGGTACAATTTAATGAAAGAAGACAAATACATAAGGACACTTAGGTGTAGGAAGAGCCTTGACTGAGAACTGGGCCTCCCCGGTACTGGGCCGTGCAGTGTCCCGGTGCCCAGCGCACAGCAGTTAGCGAGTACGCAGCACGCTGATCAGGGAATTGTTTATAACAGCAGCGAGACTCCTTGTTTTCTTGGGAAGCGTACAGCGACACCCCCACGTGTCCACACACGCAAAAATGCCCTCTGACACCCCACAGCGTGGTCCTCTCTCACTGGCTGCTTCCTGTGCTGTTCAGTCTCTCTGCTACCATCTAATCTTAATCTTTCTACACAAGGCAAAAGAAAACGACAGAGCTGAAGAAAGGATCGTTATCAGCTCAGATAACAGAGACTTTCGGCGAGACTCACAAACACCTACAGAACAGCAGGCTTTACCGATTCCTTAATCTGTGTTTCTGCTCATTGAATTTGCTGCAAAGGGATTATATGTAGCAGATCGTAGAGTCTGGGGGGGAGAAACTCAGGGTAAGACATGGAATGCTGAATGGGGGTGGAGTGGGATGTGGGATGAGATAATCGGCAGAAAAGGCAAGAATCCGTGTATCTTTTTAATCTGTCAGTCTGAAAAACACTCAGAATCACAGACCATAGTGAGGTGGCATGATAAACTGGGCGAACGGGGAAATTCCAGGGCGAGTAAGGAAAGCTACAGGAACATGATTAACGAAGTGGCAGGGAATGAAAAAAGAAAAGCAGGGAGCAAAAATGCCAGTAAAAGGGCCAAAACACGAGGAATAAAACGGAATATGGAGACAGAGGTGAAGACTCTCTGAGCAGTGCTCTGCTTACAAGAGTAACACACTAAACAGGACATGGACAGTGCTGCCACTTTTCCATTTATGCAAAGGTATCAGAAGAATATTCGATTGGGCTACAAACAACAGAGAACAGTTTTTCTTTAAAAGTACTTTGTTAAAAAAAAAGACAAAAGTAAACATTCCATTAGAGCCATAAAAGCCACTGGGCCCCTTTATCCACAGCTTTGCTCTTACTGCCATTTATACTTAATAATCTGTTTTCTGTTTGACTCCTAACATCATCACTCGACGTGTGGGGAAGACTCAGTCCCATCAAAACCGCCATGACCTTCCCCCAGCCAGCAAAAACAAAGGCAGAAAATGGAATTAGAGAAACTCAAGCCAGTGAACTGGATCAAACCTGGAAGAACCAGTGCTTTCCAGAAAAACAGTCTGAACCTAAACTGCAGCCTAGAAAAGAAGCAGGAAGGAGTGAGGGGGAGTGGGGGTGGGGTGGGGTGTGTAGAAACAGGTGTAGTCAGGGGTTTACTCACGCTACAGCCCGGGGGGGGGGGGAGCCGGGACTGAATGACTGACTCAGTGCTCACACACCCATGCATGGTGCTAACTTGCACCGCGCTGATATCTAATCACCTGGCTATCTACATTTGCACAACAGCGTACATTTTCGTGTGCGTCAGAGCATGGCTATGCCTGGGGCCGCTCCTGTCACTGCCGGCTCTGCATCAGCATGAGAAATCCATCACTCATACGCTTCATACTACGCAGACAAACCTGCATGGGCCCCAGTGACACACACAGACCAACAAGCGCAGACAGGTAACGTGGAACTGGTTCAGGTTGACAGTCAGGCTGACATACACCCAAAGTGGCCAGCTTGCTGGGGCAGAGAAAGTCAATCCACCACACGTGAAGAGCCGCCCCGCGAGAGCACCCTCACAACCTTCCAAACAAGATGCACCAGGTGAAGCGGCTCTTTATCCCACATGGGTTAATTAGGTCAAGCCTATTTAGCTAGGATCAATACCCGGTGTTCAATTAGCTGTGCCACTCTAATTAAGTCACACACTGATTAATATTGACTTCAGAGACGAGGGGTGAGACATGCAGAGGGATCTAGAGGTGAGATGGGATGGAACAGGGAGGTGGGGTGGAGCAGCGGGTGGGGCGGGGCCGAGGGGGCAGGCCAAGACAGTGCAGAATTCAAAATACTGCCCCTCCTTTGCAGAAGTTGTGAATCTGACAGTGATTTAGCAATGAAATTCAATATAAAATAAAACAGCAGAACCCCCCTTGACGATGCGATAAGCCCTGTGTCTGGACACTCGACTTCATTTTCCCTCTACTGTGGAGGATGAGAGGCTGTTATGTCAGCACTACAGACTGCAGAGCTACAGGTAGAGGACCTGCATGAGTGTTTGTATGTGCAGGACATCTAAGTGTTTCCCTGTGTCAGGGGTGGACTTATCATAAGGCACCTGGTCCCTGGCTCCATGAAGATGGAATTTACAGAAGTTACATTCAATGATATAACATTAAATTATTATTTAAATGATAGTCTGGTATTTGCATAGTTTTCAGGACAGTTTTCAGGATAGACAAAGTTGCCCCCCGTCCCGGAAGTAATGAACTATTCCTACTTTGAGACTCTGCATTACCTAGATTTCTTTTCACACAGGAGCCCAGTGACAGGCTACCACTTATTTCCCTGCCTTGCGAACCAATACAAAGTAGCCTAAAAGAAAACAGCACAAAGATACAAGGCTGACATTACATCTTCTGTGTCTTTGATACTATCCTACTAGAATGGTCGACAAATTGTGAAGATATGTGGAGAAAACACAAGTAAACGAACATATGCAAAAATTCAAGACTAACCTTAGCCTCAGGGGTGGAGTAAGATATAGGTTACCGTGAGCTACAGCCTATGGCCACGGCAAAAGAGGAAATGGTTAAACTTCTTAAATTTGGCCGATCAATCCACCGGTGTGATACCTGCCCTCCCCCTGATCGGTGAATTTTAATGACAGCACTTCAGCCCCCACCCTGATCAGTACGTTCTCTCTCTTCTTTCTCTTGTGGCTCCAAAAAAAGCTCAAATGACCGACTTAGGGGGTCCCCTATCCATGTCAGTCTGGAGCCCCAGGGAAGTTAGTCCACCCCTGCCCTGCTTGCATGTTGGCTTGTGTACAAGAATGAGTCCTTGTGTGCAGAAATACACATAAAGCCCCTTTGGTTCTATGTGTCATGCATTCAGAACAGGTGTGATCATGCAGCCTAATCTGGGGTGGGATTGTTAATATTTTCAGCAGCCATAAGGGAGATTTAAGCTGCTGAAATGATTTTGATAATTCTTATGGATTTGGTTATGCTAAAGGGACCCTGCCAGAATAGTAGGCAGCGCAAAGGGGGCAGATGTTCAGCATAATCCCCGACTCATAAGGCTCAGGACTGCACATCTCACTTTTGTTCCAGCTCAGTCTGTAATGATGTGATTGAAGTCATTATGTGGACAGCAAGTCCCTCTCACCTGCTCTTTAAGGTGCAAATGAATACCTAATTGAAAGGTGATCTGGCAGAGCCATGGGCCCCCCAGGACATGGGGGCCCACCCTGGAGGTAGGGCCGGGGGGGGCGAGAGCAGACAGACCCACTCCCAAGCCCAACACTGTGGCTCCTACATGGTCCACTTCAGATCTCAGAATGTGGGACTGCACTGCCAGTTCATCGCTGCGGGCCGAGGGGCTCATCCTTTCTTTTGTCCCCTTTGTCCCATTGCCTCTGCTCACAGCCCCCCCCAATCGGCATACTACAGAATGTACACAATAGCCGTGGCCCCCAGGCAGTTTGGAGTCCAGGAGGCAGCAGAGCATGAGTGTCTGACAGAGTCACGCTGTGGGTCTTGTGTGGGCTGCCGCTCTGCTCAGTAACACCCTCTAATTACGCAATAACTCCCATCCGCTGCATATTTCCGTAAACAGCAGCCATTTCTCCATGTTCATTTCTGTGATTCCGGCTTCAACACTGCACTGGCAAAGAGGGCCGCTCAATCCTAAAGGTGACTTCCTATCTACAGTAAAATTGCCTGGCAAGTCAACGCCCCCTCAGATGAGGGATGTCAGTGGTGACAAGCTTAATACAGCTAATTAACAGCTAAGTGAACAGATTAAGTTGGGTGACAAGCTAAACTGGTACCGTACATAGGTTCTCTAAGTTTCATTTTTGAGTGCACATTGTCACTGGAGAGGCCGGAATGACAAACTACAGGTCTGGACTGACTCTTATCTCATTGTTCCATCATACAAATTATAATTTGTCTATTTTTACTCCTCAGCTATCAGCAATCAACTCTATTCATTATGCATTTATACAGTAGATCAAATCTCTAGAAGTTCAATGGCCATTCCTGTTTCTTAATAAGACCAGCCTGCTAACCACTATGCCACCAGACACTGCAGTGGCCCTCCTTTGCTATTATTATTAAGAACAATATACAACCATATTACTTTGTAACAATACCAAGCATGCAAATTGCAACAGTTTCATGTAACTGCACTCAATGAGTACTTGCACCACATCCTAATTACAAGTTGCTCAGGCTCCTGCTGGGTGAAGAATACAACATTTAGAGAGACGTGCCGAGCGAGTGTGTTTATGTCAGCCTACTTATTTCAGTCTGTGTTTATAGGGAAATGAATGTACGCATATTTGCGTCCCATGCATGGACACCCCTCTACCCAAGACCCAGGTTATGTAGGTATGTCACTATCACCAGTTCTGCGCCATAGGGGCTTTGGCAGGCAGCCTCGTTTTCAATTTGGTCGCCATTCCCCAGAGCACCAGGGTATCCCAATAGTTTTTGCCTTTTTGTTGTGTTATTTTTGTGTCTATTAGGGTAACCCGTTCTGATAACGTAAAACACACCTTCATCTGGGGATTTCCATTCAAAACACGGTAATCTGACTTTCTGATAACTTCGAAATTTCCTCCCGATCTTACCGAAAATTTCACTCGTTAAAACCTTCGTTGGGACAATAAAGGTAAGCAGAATTATTCTTCAAACTATGATAATTATATTTCTTAGTTAGTTTATTGTATTTAGGCGTATTTTGAGCAAAATGTATCGATCAGCAGTTCACTTTTTTGGATCCGCGGCGAGAGCCGGTCATGTTTTGTGTGAACAGTGCAGCAAGAGCCGAAAATAGCATGATTTTCAGCATGGAATTTACAGCTTTAAAATGATGTAAAGGCTTTTAAATGAGGTTATATGTGTTTATGAATATATATTCTTGTAATAAAATGGAGATCAGACAGTTCTTTACGGGCACATACTGCATATTTACCTGTACCTTTTGATACTTTACTATGGACAATGCTTTTCAAATGTATTATTATTGAATGGATTATAATGATAAAACAAAGTACTTTTTAATTTGATGCTGTGGACTCTTTGAAAAGACATTCTTTGTATTATTCACTACATACATTCTCCGGTGAGTATTAATTGACAGACAAATAAATTAAATAATTATTTGTTTTATTTTCAGTGTATCTGAGACTGTTAGGCAAGGAATAAGCTTTCTAATGATACCTAGTTTATTAAAATCTGATAAACAATAACAGAGTTATGCTCATTTTTCTGAACACCATAAACAGGTCACAAAGTCAAGTATGGTTCTCCATTGTTTTATCTGTTACTAAGTGGACGTTAAAAAGCCTTAATTGGCGTTACAAAATATCCTATAACTTTCTTGCCATTCATCACAGAAAGAAGTTCTTGGTATCATTGGAAAGGTCTTATCAAGCCCTTTCTTCTGCTATTTTTGTAAAAATCCAACAACTTTGAAATTTTTTGTGACATACCTAGGTTATGGTCTCGTTAAGATGATCTTTAAGATACAGTTAAGGACGTTTTGTATAACCACGGGTAAAAAAAAAAAAACGTGCACACTGAATGGGAATCAGTGATCCGCGGTTATGCAATGATTTCGAACTAAAACGAAAACGGATGGCGTAAAGCCCTGCCAGACTTCAGTCATGTTAGCAAAGTCACGAGTTACACGTAGATCTAACGCTTATTCACAAACTCGGGCATAACAGCTTGTGAGAACTCACATGAAGTCCGCACTGGGCAATACGTAAACAAAAGAAACGAAAAAAACATATCATAATCATGTAATCCATTTTATGTGTATGGGGAGCTTGTATTTACAACATTGCGGGGACCAAATATCCCCACAATGAACCTGTCACTTTTTATCTTGTGGGGTCATTTTTCTGGTCCTCACAATATAAACCTCAAATTTAGAAGAATCTGTGAATGCGATCAAAAAACTAAACATACCGAAAGGGGCCAAGGTTGGGATTAGGGTTTTTCCATATAAATGGAGATTCCCCACAAAGATATGAATACAAACGTGTGTGTGTGACTGGGGGGTTGGGGTACCCAATACAATTATGATACCCCTGCAATGCAAACGCAATAACGCCGACACTTCGATAATACAAATAAATACTTACTTAGGATTTGAGCTGTTCCAGAAGACGCTGTGCCTCTCGGACGATGCGCACCAGGCGCCCAGACTCAGTACCATACCCAAGAAGTACACCAAATCCATTGTCGATTTGCGAAAAATTGTACCGTAAATGCAAAATATCTCGTGACGTTTATGCACGCTATTATAACTCCTAAGTAACAACCTGCTGCAAAAAAAGATATAGAAAGGTTTTAATATTAAACTGCCGCTGATCGGTAAGGACAAAGTATCATATCCAAAGAAGCCGCAAACTGTTGGATTAAGTTATGAATGATTCATGTGCCAGTTGGCGGTTTTGTCTGACGGCGAGCACACGGGACCACGCCTTTCCTCGACTGACAACCAATGAAAACTAGCAACCGAAAGTAATTTGCGTATTATCAATAAACACGCACCTCCACAGTGAGCTATAAATTGCGGAAGTTTACTTTCTAGGTAAATTCTGAAAAGTGAATTTCGTTTTGACATGATATAATTGCCATTGTCGATTTTCCTTTTTGCGCGTAGTTTTCGTAGTTTGCTTTGACTGTTATCTTAGAAGCGCACATAAACTGCATTTCTAAAACAAATGCAGGCATATACTAGGCATACTCACTGGCTTGAGTTTCCTTTGCCATATAGACAACAGCCACAAAATAAATTTAAAAATCTTGCATGAAATACAACAAAAATACAACACTAAGCCAAATACATAAAACGTATGATATAACTTATATTATAAGTAGAATAACATTTTGTATCTGCGTGCGTATCTTACTATTAATTTTCTAATTTTTAAAAGATGATGCATTTGGAAAGATTCTGTCCTAAAAACTGACCTTCCCTCGGTCTGAACGCAGCAGTCCAGCGTGGGTGTCCTACCATGACATTTAGGCTACTGATTAATACCCCATTCGTGCCGTGAAGCATGTTTCTGCAGCACACTATGCACCACCAACTCAACTAATCGCTTTCTCACTGTCCGGCCACCCGAAAACGCAGCAGAAATGAACAGGATCGACCTGCAAACCATTCCGCAACTAATAATGCGGGCGACAAAGCTATGGGCTATCGTAACTTCCTATAGAAATATGTGTTAATAAGTGCCATTAGCGGACCAGCATGTGGTGTGGTGGTTAAGGACACAGACCAATAATTTGAAGGTTGTCAGTCTCATTCCCACGACGGGATCCGCTGTACCCTTGAGCGAGGTACTTAACCTGAATTATTTCGGCAAAAATCTCTAGTATGGTAAATGCGTCAAAATCACTAAGCTGCCAAATGTGAATCCTGCTTCTGCCCAGTTGGGAATATAGACCTTAGGATGCCATCACTCTTGGGATTTCAGTTAGCTTCTGCAGATGCCCTTGCTGTAATTCATACAAATGTCAAGAAAGGTCTTCTCGCTCCTTCCATACACATACACACCAGTTTTCATCTTGGCTTTTCATGCTTCAGTTGTCAGTAAAGTCACTGTTTACCCTTCTGCTAACTGATACCTTTCAATGACATTCCCTTTGAATCTTTGTAAGCTCTTTGTGAACCATGGCTTTTGCTGTAGGATGTAGCTGAGTAAATGTTAGGAAAATCCCGCTAGGATAGCTGAACTTTATTTGGGGTTAATCAGAGTCACTTTAATTGATGGTTGGTGTCCCCCCAAAAGACTGAATGCTGTAATTAAATGAAAAGGTGCTTCAACAAAACATTAGATTAAGGGTGTATAACCTTCTTATTGTACGGTTTTTAAAAATTTTTATATTTTCCCCAGTAACAGATTCAGATTCACTGATTTTATGAGGACCTGAAAAATGGTCCCTACAACATCAAAATAACAGGTTTTTATCATGTTGTGGGAGACATTTGGTCCCCACAATGATATAAACCTAATCCACACACACACACATACACACACAAGTTGGTCTTCCTATCTGAATGGGGACCATCCATTCATTTCTATGGGAAAAACCATAATCCCAATCACGACACCCTTAACCTCTACCCATCCCTAACCTTAACCATAAGTAACCAACCCAAATGCTTTTGGCATTTTTACTTTTTTGATTGCATTCACCGATTTTTTTTATAAAACTCAGGTTATCCAAATGGGGACCCCAAAAGATGTCCCCAAAAGTAGGGAAATTTCAGTTTTACTACACTTTGGGGACAATTTGGTCCTCAAATGTGATCTATGCAAAACACACACACACACAGCTCTGGGAAAAAAAATAAGCAACCAAATCAGTTTCACTCATTTCGGAATTCATGAGCATGCGACTGTGTTAAAAATACATTTTTTGCTAACTCCAGTCTGGCTGCTCCTTGCTTCTCATTCATGAAAGGCTTCTTCTTTGCTGAATGGATCTTCAGTCCTGCTTCTAGGAGCCTGTTATGAATTGTCCTAACAGTGCATTTCGCACCACTTAATGTTTCCCATTAATTTTGAAGGTCACTTGAGACCATCCTCTGATTTATGAGGCACTGCCGGATAAGTTGATGGTCATCACTGGCATTAGAAAGTCGCTTCTTCTCTCTACCTGGCTGGTTTTTGGTCATTAGCAGTGTCTCCTGCTTCACCTTGTTCTTCTTTACTGCTGTCATAGAAACTTTGAGCCTGGAAGCAACCTGCCACTCAGTGTAGCCTTCTGCCAGTGGAACCAGGATAAACCACGATTTAAAACTGCAAATGTATTAAAAATATAGAGTGATCTCTGAATTTTTTTCCAGAGCTGTATATCATGTAGGCCAATGCATGAATGTACACGTTACAATGAGGGGCTCCGGAATCACAAACACAGCAGGAGCCTGAGCAACTTGTAATTAGGATGTGGTGCAAGTACTCATTGAGTGCAGTTACATGAAACTGTTGCAATTTGCATGCTTGGTATTGTTACAAAGTAATATGGTTGTATATTGTTCTTAATAATAATAGCAAAGGAGGGCCACTGCAGCGTCTGGCGGCATAGTGGTTAGCAGGCTAGTCTTATTAAGAAACAGGAATGGCCATTGAACTTCTAGAGATTTGTTCTACTGTATAAATACGTAATGAATAGAGTTGATTGCTGATAGCTGAGGAGTAAAAATAGACAAATTATAATTTGTATGATAGAACAATGAGATAAGAGTCAGTCCAGACCTGTAGAGTTTCTGTAAAAGCCTGGGTCTCAATCTCTCAATAAGGCCTTTTGTTTTTCGGTATAGTTGAGCCTTAAATTAAAAAGCATTTTTGTTTTGACTGAGCTATTTCCAAAACTAGGGGCACAATTTAAAAAAATGTCAGACGTAATGCATTGTTCAGATTCTACACCTAGTTCTGTCCTATAACTGGATAGCTGATATAGATATAGATATTTTAATAAAATATCATCCATTGAATTAGACTCTTTGTGAAATATGAACATATAAATGAACAGGAATTAATGAATAAGTGAACTAGACAATTTAAATGGTTCAATTCAATTAATTTGTAGCCTAATTAATTGTTCAGAGGCTAAGAACAACCAAGTAATTATTGATTAATAAAATGATGAAAACAAGTCATTGAAACACTGAAAACATATTTACTTAACTTTACTTGAACTTATTTATCTTTAACTTTTATTTAATCATAATCAGTCCACAAATTCATTTTAAAACATTCATTTCTAAACTAAGAAGCTCTTTTAACTTGTTTGATGGTACAGCTGTGTTCAAAATAATAGCAGTCCAACATCACTAACCTGATCAATCGCTGTTTTTGGTAAAAAAATATAATTTCTACATGGCAAATAATTTACTACTAGGTGTAGTAGAGTAATGGAAAACCAACAGACTCAACAGTCATGACATGCATGCTGCTGATTCTGTGTAATTGAATCATTAATTGAAAGGGGCGTGTTCAAAATAATAGCAGTGTGACGTTCAATTAGTGAGGTCATTCGTTCTGTGAAAAACCAGGTGCCAATTATAGGCCGTATTTAAGTAAGGAAGGCAGCAAATGTTGTACATGCTGGTTATAGTGCACTTCTCTCTGAAATTCTGAGTAAAATGGGTCGTTCCAGGCATTGTTCAGAAGAACAGCGTACCTTGATTAAAAAGTTGATTGGAGAGGGGAAAACATATAAAGAAGTGTAGAAAACGATAGGCTGCTCAGCTAAAATGATCACAAATGCTTTAAAATGGCAACCAAAACCTAAAAGACGTGGAAGAAAACGAAAAACTACCATTCGAATGGATCGAAGGATAGCCAAAATGGCAAAGCCAATGATCAGCTCTAGGAAGATCAAAGAAGAACTAAAGTTACCTGTGAGTTCTGTTACAATCTGATGATGCCTATGTGAAGCCAAGCTATCTGCAAGAAGCCCTCGCAAAATCCCATTACTGAAAAAAGGACGTGCAGAAGAGGTTTCAATTTGCCAAAGAACACATTGACTGGCCTAAAGAGAAAAGGCGCAACATTTTGTGGGCTGATGAAAGCAAGATTGTTCTTTTTGGGTCTAGTGGCTGTAGGCAGTTTGTCAGACGACCCCCAAACACTGAATTCAAGCCACAATGCACTGTGAAGACAGTGAAGCATGGTGGCGCAAGCATCATGATATGGGGATGTTTCTCATACTACGGTGGAGGGCCTATTTATCACATACCAGGGATCATGGATCAGTTTGAATACCTCAAAATACTTGAAGAGGTCATGTCGCCTTATGCTGAGGAGGAAATGCCCTTGAAATGGGTGTTTCAACAAGGCAACGACTCCAAACATACCAGTAAACCAGCAACATCTTGGTTCTAGACCAACAAGATTGACGTTATGGAGTGGCCAGCCCAATCCACGGACTATAATCCAATAGAAAACTTGTGGGGTGACATCAAAAATGCTGTTTCTGAGGCAAAACCAAGAAATGCAGAAGAACTGTAGAATGTAGTCCAATCATCCTGGGCAGTAATACCTGTTCACAGGTGCCAGAAGTTGGTTGACTCCCTACAACACAGATGTGCAGCAGTTCTCAGAAACAGTGGTTATACAACTAAATATTAGTTCAATGATTCAAAGGAAAGCAAAATCTTAAAACATTTTTCAGTTCATATGGTGAATCTTTGAGTTTGTAAAGAAGAATGTGGACACTGCTATTTTTTTGAACAGCCTAATATTCCATTTCCTTCCCTTTCTGTAAAAGAATAACAGAAATGTGATGAATTTTTCTTCTTGTTTTGATTTGCAGTAGAATTTGTAGCGTTCCCAATGCATTTGCTTGTTTGGAAATAAAAACTATTATAAGGATTTTCAGCTTTATTCACTTTTTTAGACACA